TCTACCTATGAAAATTTAGAACTGATTAGTTTTTCGGCATTCTGGGTAAATGTTAAGGCGGCCATTTTGGATTTTCCGTCCTAAAATCTTGTCTGTCAAGGCTTGTCCACAGTTTTCCAGCCAAACTGTGCGAGGGATTCATTTGAAATTCTCAGGGATGTTTCTACCTATGAAAGTTTAGGACTGATTAGTTTTTCGGCATTCTGGGTAAATGTTAAGGCGGCCATTTTGGATTTTCCGTCCTAAAATCTTATCTGTCAAGGCTTGTCTACAGGTTTCCAGCCAAACCGTTTGAGGGATTCATTTGAAATTCTCAGGGATGTTTCTACCTATGAAAATTTAGAACTGATTAGTTTTTCGGCATTCTGGGTAAATGTTAAGGCGGCCATTTTGGATTTTCCGTCCTAAAATCTTGTCTCTCAAGGCTTGTCCACAGTTTTTCAGCCAAACTGTGCGAGGGATTCATTTGAAATTCTCAGGGATGTTTCTACCTATGAAAGTTTAGGACTGATTAGTTTTCGGCATTCTGGGTAAATGTTAAGGCGGCCATTTTGGATTTTCCGTCCTAAAATCTTGTCTGTCAAGGCTTGTCTACAGGTTTCCAGCCAAACCGTTTAAGGGATTCATTTGAAATTCTCAGGGATTTTTCTACCTATGAAAGTTTAGAACTGATTAGTTTTTTTGGCATTCTGGGTAAATGTTAAGGTGTTTTAAGAAAAGTTAGCGCGCGATAATACTTTGTATCATATTGAATGGTGTTTTTCAATTTTCATACTTTAACTATTTAGTAGCTTTATAAATAATTTCAGGTGTACTTTGTTGTAAAAGCCTATGTTATTGTTAAAGGTAGTAATATGTGATAATTTTGTAAAAGGAAATCAGCAAAATATAATCACTTTTTTATTGTCGGCCATTTTGGATTTTTCCGTCTTAAAATCTTGTCTGTAAAGTCTTGTCTACGCGTTTTCAGGTGAACCGTTTGGTAGATCAATTTCAAATTTTCAGGGATGATCCTTAGTATGAAAATCTAGATCTGATTAGTTTTTGGGCATTCTGGGTAAATGTCAAGCCAGCCATTTTGGATTTTGCGTCCTAAAATCTTGTCTGTAAAGTCTTGTCTACGCGTTTTCAGGTGAACCGTTTGGTAGATCAATATCAAATTTTTAGGGATGATTCTTAATAAGAAAATCTAGATCTGATTAGTTTTTTGGCATTCTGGGTAAATGTCAAGGCAGCCATTTTGGATTTTCCGTCCTAAAATCTTGTCTGTAAAGTCTTTTCTATGCGTTTCCAGGTGAACTCTTTGGTAGATCAATTTCAGGGATGATTCTTAGTATGAAAATCTAGATCTGATTAGTTTTTTGGCATTCTGGGTAAATGTTAAGGTGGCCATTTTGGATTTTCCGTCCCAAAATCTTTTCTGTCAAGGTTTGTCTACAGGTTTCCAGCCAAACAGTTTGAGGGATTCATTTTTATGTCCCCACCACATAGTGTGGGGCCATATTGTCGGCCTAGGCGCGTCTGTCCGTATGTCCGTCCGTCCGTCCGTCCGTACGTCCGGCAGTTATCTCCAAAACCGCCACAGATATCACCTTCAAATTTTCAGGGATAACTGGATACCTACTTCCTGTCGGCCATTTTGAAGTCAAATGCTAAAATCCTTGTCTGCAAACTTTAAGAAAAACGGCTTCACAGTTGCTTTTGAAACGTTAACATCTTGTTCATTCTACATCTGATTAGGTTTTGGACCTGTTAGCTCAGTCATGTCAGCCATTTTGAATGTTTTAAGAAAAGTTAGCGTGCGATAATACTTTGTATCATATTGAATGGTGTTTTTCAGTTTTCATACTTTAACTATTTAGTAGCTTTATAAATAATTTCAGGTGTACTTTGTTGTAAAAGCCTATGTTATTGTTAACGGTAGTAATATGTGATAATTTTGTAAAAGGAAATCAGCAAAAACTAATAATCACTTTTTTATTGTCGGCCATTTTGGATTTTTCCGTCCTAAAATCTTGTCTGTAAAGTCTTGTCTACGCGTTTTCAGGTGAACCGTTTGGTAGATCAATTTCAAATTTTCAGGGATGATTCTTAGTATGAAAATCTAGATCTGATTAGTTTTTGGGCATTCTGGGTAAATGTCAAGGCAGCCATTTTGGATTTTGCGTCCTCAAATCTTGTCTGTAAAGTCTTGTCTACGCGTTTTCAGGTGAACCGTTTGGTAGATCAATATCAAATTTTTAGGGATGATTCTTAATAAGAAAATCTAGATCTGATTAGTTTTTTGGCATTCTGGGTAAATGTCAAGGCAGCCATTTTGGATTTTCCGTCCTAAAATCTTGTCTGTAAAGTCTTGTCTACGCGTTTCCAGGTGAACTGTTTGGTAGATCAATTTCAAATTTTCAGGGATGATTCTTAGAATGAAAATCTAGATCTGATTAGTTTTTTGGCATTCTGGATAAATGTCAAGGCAGCCATTTTGGATTTTCCATCTTAAAATCTTGCCCATAAAGTCTTGTCTACGCATTTTAGGTGAACCGTGTGGTAGATCAATTTCAAATTTTCAGGGATGACTCTTAGTATGAAAATCTAGATCTGATTAGTTTTTTGGCATTCTGGATAAATGTCAAGGCAGCCATTTTGGATTTTCCGTCCCAAAATCTTGCCTGTAAAGTCTTGTCTACGCGTTTTTAGGTGAACCGTTTGGTAGATCAATTTCAAATTTTCAGAGATGATTCTTAGTATGAAAATATAGAAGTGATTAGTTTTTTGGCATTCTGGATAAATGTCAAGGCAGCCATTTTGGATTTTCCGTCCTAAAATCTTGTTTGTAAAGTCTTGTTTACATGTTTTTTGGTTAACTGTGTGAGGGATCAATTTCAAATTTTCAGGGGTGGCTCTTAGTATGAAAATCTAGAACTGACTAATTTTCGGGCATTCTGGGTAAATTTTAAGGTGGCCATTTTGGATATTCCCTCCTCAAATTGTGTCGGTAAAGTCGTGTCTACTCATTTTCAGGATAACCATTTGACGGGATCACCCAAAGGTGGGGACATTTTGTACACATTTGTGTTCTTGTTTGAAATTCTCAGGGATGTTTCTACCTATGAAAGATTAGAACTGATTAGTTTTTCGGCATTCTGGGTAAATGTTAAGGCGGCTATTTTGGATTTTCCGTCCTTAAATCTTGTCTGTCAAGGCTTGTCTACAGGTTTCCAGCCAAACCGATTCAGGGATTCATTTGAAATTCTCAGGGATGTTTCTACCTATGAAAGTTTATAACTCAATAGTTTTTCGGCATTCTGGGTAAATGTTAAGGTGGCCATTTTGGATTTTACATCCCGAAAGGTGTATTCTGCTCAAGGGTGCGATTCTGTTCACCGTGTGGCTTATTTTTTTCTTGAGTTGGTTGATATTACCATTCTAGGCTTTTGTATTGCTATTCCAATTTTGTACCATAATATGACATCTTTGTAGCTCAAGATTCGTTTATATTAACAGGGCCCATGTTCAGATGTTGTGTTGATTCAATAAAGTACTATTTCACGAGATATAACAATGTATTGAATACGCAGTTTAAGTATGTTTGCATCCATTTTTAGACTACAGAAAAATATTTGATCTAGCTGACAAAGTGATAAATGTTGACAGAACTCGATATATAGTATACTAACATCTTATCTGGGTATAGGGGTGGCAGACAGCCCTCAGACCAATTTATACCCCTACCCCCCAAAAGCCATGGGGGTACTTTAATACCACCCAATAAAAAGAGTGCTAATGCATGTCAGATATTCATTGTTTTATATAGGGTAGGGTATGTTAAGGTTAGTAAGTGCCAGAAATTTCCAATTTCTAACTTTTATGGTTACCATAGAAACAGTATTTATATCTCGAAATATTTTCAATGACCCCTCCCAAATGTGTCCTTTTGATCTCAAAGTGAAATATATACAAATCTGTTTGGATTTTATGCCTGCTACTTTGTAAAAATGTATCAATATGTATATTTTAACACTTAAACACTGAAAGGTTTATATATGATCCTATAAAACAATAATATTTATCAAATATAGTCGCACATAGCTGCTTTTAGGGAAAAGTGGGCGTGGCATTCACTTTTTGGTACGTGTGTACTTGTTGCAGCATTAAACGAAAATGGACACATGGTGAACAATATCGCACCCTTGAACAGAAGATAAAGAAGTGTTAATTACAATCAGACAGTATAGATCTAGGACAAGTATACAATCTCCAAATGTAGGATTTGTAATAAACTATTCATAAGTACCATAAATACAGGACTGCTTTGAGATGAAATTCAATAAGATGAATATTGATAAGATAATGAGATAAAAGTCAATAAAATTGTTAAAATGAACAATTCATAGAATGATTTTATGACGTCAATTTGGTGAAAACCCATTAATGACACCCTTGATTTGATTACTTGTAATTTTATTGTTATTGAAGTAAAATAAAAACAAAAAATTTCCAATGTTGGGAATTTTCTCTAGTTTATGTGTGCTAAATTTATAAACAAATAGTCAAGGATAGAGTGTTCAAATCATGGGTCAAAGTTGTTATCAAAAACTTGTGTGGGGTACTATACTATTGATGAAAACGTAATTTGACTTTATTTCCAAAACCTCCAAATTTTCTCAATTACAATAGGTCGAAAATTGATGATAAATTTGATGAATTTATCGTTTATTTATCGTGATGAAGTTATCATTAATTTTCGACCTATTTTAATTGAAGAAAAAATTGGGAAAATATGGAGGTATTAGAAATGAAGTCAAATTACGTTTCCATCAATATTATAAAGTATTTCATCGCAGGTTAAGTAAATAAAAATTCAAACGTAAAGAGGCTTTAAAACGTAGTTCAATGGCCTGGGGGAGCTAATGTTGCCAAACTTATGGAGGGGAGTGTACATACATATCCTGAAACGATGACACTAAATCATTTCTTCTTCAACGTTTATAATAATGGCCTACTGTATATCGTTTTAACATTCATTACTCCGCGAATCATCCGATGTGATAACAAAACTCGAACAGCTGCTGAACTGAACATTATACAATATGAATATGAGGCACAAGCTTTTTGCGTTGTTGGTTGGTATAACTCTTCTAGCCATGGGTAAGTAATTGTCCGAGCCAATTCTCTATCATAATATGACATTTTTATTACCGACAAATAATTGTCAAGTCAACGTTCGCATTTTCTGAATATATGGTCTTCTGCAATCCCTTCTGTGCTTAACGACGAATAATTTCGGTAATTTACAGTTGAACTTCAACTTTGAAATAAAAAATCTTATTACATTAAGCATTTATGGATTTGCAAGAATAATATAATTTTTCAGGATTAACCTCAAAAACAAAGTACGGACCTTGTAAAAACACTTGCAAAAAGTTGAAACTTGGAAAATGTTCCAGAATATGCAGGATCGCTGAAGTATGTCATTTATATTTATTATAAATAAATTATTTGAACAATAGCTCAATTTCAATGAAAATACAAAAGTGCATTATTTTAAATGAAGGTCTACTTTTTATAAGTTCCACATTCCCAAATATCATGGGCTCTCAACTAGAGCTCCAGATTTCAGTTTTTCTGCATTCCATAGATCATTTCTATGATATACTTTTTGCTCAACGCCAATGTTATCCTTATGTATTTTACCTAAACAGTATTATTAGATTTTATGTGTCCTTTGCCTGTCACAGAATAGTACAATTTGGAATTCCTGCTGGAAAACATGCGCATCCTCTTCTAATGAGTTGAACTATGACGCAGTCCTCAGTGGATGCCTTCAACAGTGTAAAGGTAAGGAAATACAATATATTGATACAAACCAAGAGTTTATGTACTAGTACCAGTGGCCCCCGCCTGGTTATAAACACGTTACATCTTTATAACAAAACCGATGAACTTCCGTTGGAAAGAATTTGTAAGATTTTCTTTTTTCATCAACAAAGAGGTTGATTTCTATCCAAATATTTTACCCGTTTGTTAAAAGTAAGACATTTACGAGCAAATATATCAGCAACTCGAATAATTAGGGAAAATTCCCCCACTTCGGGCCCAATCTGGCTGCGGTAGGGATATATGTCTAAAATAGTTACCGTAGCTACTTCGTTCATAAACAGTCTTCAATACGTCCATTTCATTCGCAGTTCGTCCAGGTCGCACCACGTCGGTGTGCAACGTAGTATAAACTGTCCCTTAGTCTAGAAGGTCATCATGACCTGATTACCGAACGGTATGGTCGCCATCGAATTTTGAATCGATTCAAAATTCTAAATCACATACCCCGTCCGGGAAAGTCCATAAAGTTCGTAAACAGACCGTAGAACGTTGTAGCTACGTTCATTCAGTTCGCACACAGTTTAAAACCGATTCGGCAACGTTTTGACGATCACCAGAAAATTTTGAGCATGCTCTAAGTGCTTTTCATGAAGTTTGTAAACAGATCCCAAACGGTTTTTAGTGGGTTCTTAGTACGTCAAATCCGTTCGTGCACAGTTTAAGCCCGTTTTCGAGAACGTAGTGAGAACTAGTTTGGTGTGATAGTAGTTTAATCTAACGCTCTACATCTATACTATTTGTTATTTCTCTGTAGTGAATTTTGACAAAATAGTTCATAATGTGTCGTCGAGCGCAGGTGGTCCTGTTTTCACCATGGACGGAACCTTTTACTTGGTATCATATGGATGTGAAATCTTCAAAATTGATTTAAAAAATAACAAGGTTAGATCTTACTCTTCACCCGCCATATATCTAAATCTACACGTTTTTCTCCCATCCAAGTTGTTTACTGTAACAATCATACGATTAGACTACGGTGTTCAACGAAATTTGTAGTATTGATTTATGAAATTAAACTTTCAACTTTACAGAGGAATTATGATCCCTAAATAAACGTGTCCTCAAGTTTAATGTTGATTATTTTCCTCTAACGACCATAATCTTGCAGACTTTAATCTGTCGATCTGCTGTCACACCAAATGCACCATCTTCCCATTTCACGGGCCTGTCTATCCTCTTATAACCTTGAAATTAGATCTCGATCACAATGCAGATGGTACCAAATCTTAAAGCTGATTAACTACTTCATGCCATCTTGAATAATGGCGTCTATTTTGGATTCTCTTGGATATTGGTGCTTA